AAAAGGTAAAATAAAATAAAATAAAATGAAATGAAATGAAATGAAATGACCTTATAAACAAGGTTAAACACATTACAGTCGCAGACTGATAAACTTGTGGACCTCCCTATATATCTATATTATGAATAAACTAATAAAATTAGTCAGTGATGAATAAACTAATAAAATTAGTCAGTTCTGGAGTTTAAAGATTTTGAGTTTCAAATACCTTTCGTGTAGCAACCTCCCAAACAACATCTCAAAAATTACAAAGAAATGTACATTGCTTGTAGTTTAACTGTTACTTAGCCAATYGAAGCCATACTGCAGTAGCCTGATGATCTTGATGTGCTCTTTCTCGTCATGGAATTAAAGAATTTTTTTGATAAGGTAATAATCAATACCTTCTATATACTCGTTCCTTCGCTCGTTTCTATTTCATCCTCCCCCTCGTCGCTATTGACGAATAACGATTGGTGTGATCGCAAGGATTGAGTATGCCATCACCGTACGACTAAGATCAGACTTTAATCTATTGTAGACCAACACTACACCACGTTGCGTCTGGATCTAAACAATGCTATGTGCGCATCATGATTCATAATGACGTAATTCCACGCGGGTATTATGTAAAAAATTGCTAAACAACACAGTCTGATTTACGACTCTCTTGCGGTACAAAACACTAATTTTAATGATCTTTCATATTACGGAATCATTTCATTTGACTAAAAGTTTGGCTGACTGCCCTTATACCGTCAACAGTGACGTCACAAGAAACTGATTTCATTAACTGCATTGCTAGGACGCATTACTTCAATGGATAATCATTATATCTATTTCGTCATACGGGTTGATATCCGAGCTGAGGGTTTTCTTTTTGGTACATCGGCTGACGTGTTGTTTCGTTCTGGTAATTTGATCGRAAAATATTAATAAACAGTATCAGCCAAAAAAATGACTGTTGATAGATAGTAGATGGTGTGTCAATGTATGTTTGTGATTGGGTGAAGAATAATAGAGGGTGTTAATTAGACACGTGATTGGCTGATTATATATGGGGTAACAATCTAAGTATGTGATTGGGTGACGAATAAAAGAGGGTGTTAATGTAGAATGTGATTGGCTGATGATAAATGGGGATACAATCTAAGTATGTGATTGGGTGATGAATAAAAAAGGATGTTATATGTGGACATGTGATTGGATGATGAAAAAGAGATTGTATTAATGCAGACAYGTGATTGGCTGATGATATATGGGGTAACAATCTAAGTATGTGATTGGGTGAATATAGAGAGTGAATGAGAGTGACGAATAAAAGAGAGTGTTAATGTAGAATGTGATTGGCTGATGATAAATGGGGATACAATCTAAGTATGTGATTGGGTGATGAATGAAAAAGGGTGTTATATGTGGACATGTGATTGGATGATGAAAAATAGATTGTATTAATGCATACATGTGATTGGCTGATGATATATGGGGTAACAATCTAAGTATGTGATTGGGCGATGAATAAAAAAGGGTGTTATATGTGGACATGTGATTGGATGATGAAAAATAGATTGTATTAATGCATACATGTGATTGGCTGATGATATATGGGGTGTCAATGCAATGCAAGTATGTGATTGGGTGATGTGGTATACCAATCTAAGAACTGTTGTTATGTCTAAATGTATTAAAGCACGTGATAATTGGGTTGTCAATATAGGAATACCAATTTCAGACATATATTTATCATTGGTATAAGCTAATTATATCAAAAGAGTGATCATCGATCATATCACGTCCTGTTCCTGTTTTCGACCAAGATATGATGATCTAAAGCATGTTGACGCATGTTGAGTTTGGCTAGTAATGCATCACGCAACACAGAGGCTGAGAATGATGTTGTGTGACATGACAGGAAACCGATTTACGAGAAGTGCTGTGTCGGTCTGTAGATCAAAGAAATGGATTATTTTGTTGGATTATTTACCGATATGTTTAACCGATGGCAACGCTATTTTGTTTGTTAATTATGGTGAATTTTTTGGCTAGGACCATAGCACGACCTACTGGAGTGTCACGTGGTAAGACTGCTTTGAGTAATTGTTCTCAGGTCAGAAAGGAAGGCTAAGAGAAGCATGAAACTACGCTACAAGGAACTGTGAAATAGAAACTAAGGTCCAACATTAGAAAAAGTCCCTCGTTCCACTCTCCTGACACTGTATTGACGCCAACACTAGGTGTGTTATTTCAAACTAAAAGAAAACCAGAGGAAAAAAAAATACTTTGGAATTTTGCTTTTATCATATCGATAAATTTTTAATTGTTGATACGACAATAAAGTAAAGAAAAGACAAATAAAGGGGTGTAATTTCAAGTCAAACTTCCGTTGTGCATTAATATATTCATAAAGGCCTGCTGTGGTCACTCGATCGAGACCGGAACTACTTTGTCTCTCTATAAATAGCATTTTGAAGGGAAAATCCCGTCGATTGTTTGGTTTATTTCGTTTTAAAAAAGGAACTCGCTACTTCCCATAAATGGAATCAATTATTTCCCCAGTCGAGTTGCGGAATTAACTCTCGTGATGCCATCAGAGTCCAAAACCTGATCGATCAGTTTAGAGTACAAAGTCAGGGCTGAAGTCACTCTGAGTCTGAGTCCATTATTTGAACGTCGAAGTAACTTGAAGAGAACGAGAATGTCAAGAAAACAAGAATTCGATGGACTTTTATACAAGCACAAAGCATTAGAAATCATCATATCTGCATCACTAACTGTCAATCTGTGTGTAGTCTGTTATACACTTTTACCATGGGTATACAGTCTTGTTAGGAGAAAACTTTACAAGAAAACTAATGGTGAAACTACAAAAGAAGATAATGATATTCAAGTCAGTCGCATGTAAGTACTAGTCTGTCCGTGTCATATACAGCGTATTTTTAAACTTTATAAGTCTAATACATAATACGGTGGCTTATGAACCCTTTTTCAAACTTATTCATGGTTATTTGACTAATTGTCAGTGTATATTGAAATATATAAATGACTATACAAGACATTTCTTTAGAAGGCTCGGCCTTGGTGTGAAGCAGGTTGCCTTAGCAACCTATCATAGCTCTAAAAAAATTCAAAATTCTGTCGTTTTTCTGACGTTTTTCCGTTCAAATAAATTTGTTTCTGCTTCGAGCAAAGGAACTCTTGAAAACCCTACCTTGCATGACGTTAAACATATCGAGTGTATTTACAGTCGAAACGGAAAACACGCGATCTGACGTAAGGGACTACTGACCTCAATCAAGATAACGCCCTGGTTCTCTAGACCGTAACCTTCTAACATTTCCTTCTTGCATCAGTCTGACGCAATGGTATCATATTAGATGAAAAGTCACACAAAACCCTAAGCGGAACATAATAAATTCACAATCGACTTGGAAAAAATCTCGCAAAATTTCGTGGAAAAACGGAAAACTTGACTAATTTTCGCAAGGCAATGATATAAATGCTCATTAGCACATTGTGTCAATATAGAAGATAGAGAAAACATAATATACCTTGAATCGAATGTAAACACGATTTAACTATGTTGAGCTTTTCCAAAGACGTGTGGTCGTATTTAGTTCGTGTTGTGTATGGTACTCGTGAATTTAACCAACGTCTTTCACCTGTTTCGTGGCTTATATCACGGCAGTTCTTTAATTACCCGTTCGTCTTCCTCTTTTAATCTTTGTTAGGAAGATATCATCATTTTATAACTGAGTATTTTTGCAAAAACATGGCAGACTGTCATTCTTTTAAAAACAATTTTCACATATTTTCTTTTTTTTTTTTTTTTACCTTTAATTTTCCCTTTGAACGCAAGCCAATAATATATCAGTAACTAAACCTATTCGATTCTTTCTTTTACGGCTTTTGCGTTTAAAGCTGGAAAAAAGCTTAGAGAAAACGAAAAAAAAAAAATTATTAACTTGCTATCAAAAAGGGCTTTAAAATTTTTGATGTTTGAAAAAATGAATGTCGGTCTTGTAATCAAGATATGAAGCAGCTGAGCGCTACAGGCTGTAGATGATGAACTATATCGTCATGCAACTTGGCCGATAAGTATGTATTTCCTGTGAATAACCAGTTATCAGGCCTTCGTCGACTGACATATTTGACCAAGCTGAATTATGATTCACTTACAAATAATTATATAAATATAAAGAAAAAGGTTGGAGTGATCCATTTATTTATTTTGTTGATAGTTCAATAGCTGGAATCATCGCAGTCATAGTCTTGGGCCAGAGGCAAAGCGTCTTTTTGGCGTTTACTAGAAACATGCCACACGAAGTACTATCGGTGCAAAAATAGCTGAATCAAAAAAAAACTATAAGGTCAGGTGTCCAGGAAGCTATTGAAGAAGAGGAAAAGAAAGAAATATGACTTACCATTCCGTATGGCATAAAAAAATTCAAAACGCCAATCATGCAGCTATTTGATTGGATTGAGTAACACTATTAGGAATGCTCTCCGCCCATCATCAGCAATGCCGGGTAGATTGGTTCTTCCTGTGGGAAGACAACACGATCTTACTGAGGCATGTATGTATACATATTTGCTATCTATACTCAGGGGCTCTCTAGTGTTGTTGTGATGCCCTGAAGATCTTGAAAGCAATCTACTTTCCGGCTCCTGTGCATACTGAACAGACCACGGCACTAAAAGCTCTAACAGGCTTCGAAAACACAAGAAAAAGGAATATATATTTTGAAAGTGAAATGAAAGCAAATATTCAAACTAAAACAGATAAAGGATAAACTTTGCCTTTACTGACTATTGAGAAGATATTATTGAATATCACAATAAGCAGAAGCGAATAGAATAATGATTAATTGATTGAGGAATAATAAGTAATAATAATTGAACTAAATATTATTATATAAATATATTTTATCAATATGTTTTCTATCTTAGACTTTTCTAGATGCCATCTGTAAATCTAATATATTTTCAAAACCGCCTTTTTCGCAAACCAAAAACAGCGGAAGAGCATACCACACGGGTAAACACTGCGAGAAAGCAGAATAGAACACTCGATATTAAAATGGTTCAGCTACTTAACACGGTCCCCCATGCAAAGTAGTTCATTACTGACCATCCCCACAAAACCATAAGGAGCTTTTTGTCTTCGTATAACTTTTTGTGAAGGAACTGCTTTGTTTTACAAATATTTAGCAAACACTTCAATCAATCTAAGAGAATATTTGAATGTTGTTTTCAGATCCAGCAGTGTCCCATTCTACGTAGCCTTCCCCGTGTGTGGCCTGGTGCTGATATTTACTTCAAACATCCTACGAAGCCCATTCTTCACGTTTGATAGTTCCCTTTGCATCGTGTTTTCGTCAGCCCTTGGTCAGTACATCTATAAAAGTGCCGAGGCGGTGTACTGGAAAAGAGAGACAAACTACAGACCCTTGCTTGTTCATAATGCTGTTGTCATAGCAATCTATGCAGTTATCTTATGCTATGAGCAGGGTGCAATTATTGGTGTGGTTGGATTGCTTATGAAAGGCAGTTTTGCTTTTGCAGAATTTGATATTGAAAACTTCTCAAAATCCATGAGAAAACGAAGTCCCTCGTTACCTCCCAAAGTCACTTTTGTTGGCATGTTTGTGGTGTCGGTGATCCTGAAAGGGCTTTTACCATGTTTACTCGTAGTCTTCTCAATTGTCACATCATCAGGGGATCTTCTAAAGATGCAGTACATTCCACTTGCGTTCTTCTTCCTCAGTCTGGTGTTCTTTTCAGCAGTTGCCGGCTGGTTCTTCAAGGATGCTTTTTGTGGCCTGCGATACATGTTTGGCCGATCCAAACATACATACCTATGGAACACGATACAACAGCCAGTAACCACTCTCATCAATCATAACGGGCTTGAAAAGCTCATGGAGAAGGAGAAAGGTGCGGGGATACTGCAAATCAAGTGCAATGAATTATGGGATCAAGACTCTGCATCATTGTGTAGTGCGCATGTGTTGGGAAGCAAGTTGAAGAATGTTGACGTCATAGAGGTTGAATGTGCTACACCTTCTGTTCTCAAGTCTACAAACATCGTGCACTAACTTAAAAATAATAAATCTGTCTCCATGTTATATGGGGAAAAGAGAGTACACATTTAAGCAAGAATTGAAGATAATTGTAGATATAGTCATATGAAACATAAAAATGAACGCTTGCCATATGAAGTTACACCTTCGACGTTACGTGTAATGTGGTACGCGGGAAAATAACACTGTTATCATATTTCAAGAAATTATCATAAAGTATATATTTTCAGTAGAAAACCATATTTAAAAGTTTATTCAGTAATTGACTGGGCATCTTTAAGTATTTAGTATTTATTTAAATTGCCGCAAAGAATTATGGGAATTATTAGTATGACAAATTAACAAACAGACAAGTGAAATAACATTAATAATTTCGTGCCATTAAAGGGCAGACCCCGAGGGGAGGGGTGAAGAGGAGGGGGTTACAAAGGTGAACCCAGGCTGATATTATGAATATTCAAATATAAAGTTATATTATCACGTGTGTCTTATGATCATATAAAAATAACAGAAAGTCTAAATCTTGAATAAAAGAATGTTTATAGAAATGAATATTGCTATAAAGTRAATAGTACTAATTGCCTTGACTTACTAGTAATGTATATATTTGAGTAGAAATAAAATCATTGTGAAAGAGTTCATGCTTCTTATAATAAAAGTGTGTTTTCAATATGAGTAGCGGCCAAGAATGTGCGGTCTTCTTTTAGTTTGTAAACTGAGTGTGCAAGTGTTGTTTACCATGGTATATCCAGTCTCCTATCATCCTAAATAATCATTCACAAAGTCCTACCCTACCTCGTTAAACGGGGCTCAAGTCCTAGACATATTTATTACCCTATATTAAAACAGGATCACAAAATCTGGATCCCACATTATAGTTCCAGATGTCCAGATATATTGACAACCCCAGCCTCAGAGTTCGAGCGGTGTATTAAAACCCAGTCCAACCAATCGTTTCTGTTAAGTTCCAGGGTATTAAGGAAGATGCACGAGCGTCAAATTTACTCGCTAATTTCTTGAAGACAAAGGCCTAAAATTCGTTTGGTAGTGAAGAAGCTTTACGCTTAGGCTATGCTGGAGATTGCGGCCCAGTAATAATGAAATGAATGGTACCGGTCAGGGAGTGGCTTGGGCCAAAGTGCACTAAAGAAGACCTATGTCAGTTTAGTTAAAGTAAGCCCCTATACAAGTGATATCCTAGACTGACAATGCAACATTAAACATACTTTTCAATGTTCGTTACGGCCAGATTTTTGCAGCCATACAAAATGTATAATTATATATCAGTACTATATTTGAACTCGAGCGGTTAGTAAGAACTGTGAATGTTTTGAACCGATCTCTTATGTAGATACTACGTGCTCTTCATAGGGCTCAAGCTTTTATTGTGCCTCAAGTTTTCTATGCCCTATCTTTTTAGTCCTTTTATCAACCATGCTCTACTGTTTACTTCGTATAAAAAGACTTTTGCTCTCCATTTCGTTCATGGTCAGTCCCTTGGACTCTTCTAATCAAACAGCGAACTCACATGGGCTTCCATTTAAAAGAAATTATTTGATATAGCTTCCTGTTAAGAGAGTTCGTCAGTTTTGCGACTGTTATCCACAAAGAGGCCTTGTTACTCCTTCAAAGCTACCGAACATCAACAGGGTAAAACCCTAAAATTTTGTACAGGACTTTATTCTTTCCTTTTTCATTTCCTAAAACAGCAGTCAAAAAGCAATCTTTTGTCAAGGTTCAAGAAAAACGTTATTATTTTCTTAGCTTTTTTGAGGTATTAATTATTTTATGGGAACCTTTTAGTTTCCGCCATTTTCATCAGTTTCAATAACTTGTCAAGAAGGTAATTTTTTAATCCCATTATCTCGAAAAGGAGGCTCATGAAACTCCAGTTTTCTTTCTTTATTTTGAATCAGCGTTAAATGCTGTATAAAATAGCTTTCTCAGAAAGTTTTCTAATTACTTATTGCTAAAGGTCACCCACCTTAAAGCGCCTATGACCCCTAACTCAATATTTTCAGTATTGATTCGAATGGTGAAATATTTTTATATGATTTGAGTGATACATCTTGGAGATATCAAGGTTTATACTTCCAGTATGCTAATGAGTGTGATGTCATAGGAGGCATCATTAAATATACGAAAAATATACTGGGATAGTAAAATATCCTGCATAAAACATAATTATCTTACTCAGTGTTTATAGAAAGGTTATTGCAAATTTGTTTCCTCATTGTAATCAGTGTTTTGATTTAAAATGATGACAAATAAACCCAATTGCCTACTATGACATTAATGCTGAAAATATTGAGTTAGGGGTCATAGGCACTTTAATGGCTCGGACAACAGTGCAACAGTCGTGCGTAACACGCTTGATTGTGCGACGAACCTACAATGTAGTTGGCAAAGCTGCTCATAGGCAATGAGATGCGGATTTTCCATGTAAATTGTTAAATTCTAACTGCATGCTTGCAGAGGTCCTTTACTGTTTGGGCATTAGGTCGGCATTTTTCTCCCCGAACAACCTGCCGCCCAGCCCAACGTGCTGGCAGAGTCTCCTCTATATTCCTCTCGAGCGAGAGAGAAATTAAAAGAAGACTCTGCCAGCTGGTACGCCCAACCCTGCGGAGGGAAAGATCAAGAAAAGTAATCTCTGCTCTCAGACCAGAAAGGTTTTTATAAACACTTAGTGGCCATCACCTTTGGACGGGAATACTGGAAGCAAGAAATAAATGATTGTGCATAGGGGAAAACTTCTGGTACCTCTGTTTTCTATTTGACCAGCCTTGCGCGAAAGTATTGCGAAAAAAATTGGCTTTCTTTATCTAAGACACCAGCCATAACAAGCAAGTCATGGAAAAACGGTACATTATCTGAACAGCTTGATTTTTATCAGAATTATGTAGTTCGTTAATTTACAACAACAACAACAACAACATTCTTATCAATATTCGGTTTTTTTTAATCATTATTATTATTTCTGACGACTAATGACAGCTTGTTTAAAGCTACAATGTTGTCAGGTGTAATATCAAACGATTTTACCATACGAATATGACAAGCGATACGAAGCGGCATGGATCACATACAAGTACATTCGTGAAACTTTTGCAATATTTGCAATATTTCCTTTTCCATTAAATATATTATATAACATCAATTGGACGTTTCACGTCTAAATTAAATAGCAAATTATTAGAAATTGGTTCGTATGATTGTATTTACGATTTTTTTTTTTTTTTTTTTTTTTTTTTTTTTTTTTTTTTTTATGATTGGGGTAATTATTTTGTATTCAAAATTGATATCCAAAATGGAATTTTATTATTAGAGTATGGAAAACTACATATTTTTAGCAGATGATTTACTATTCTCAGCAACTTTTTATACTTTTCCTGTTCTAGTTTTTAGCTTTTCCTCGATGGAAAAAGCTTCTTTTTTTAGAAGGAATTGCCTGTGTTTTTTTGCTTCTTCGATCTTCAGATGATATTTCTTCAGCTGGTTTTTGTCTGTCTTCGTCCAGTGTTTTCTTTTTCCCGCCAAAAAGACGAGCCAATTTTCGAGAAACAAATGACTTGCTTCTTTTTACTTTTTTCGGTTCGTCTTGGTTCTCTACCTGTGGACCATCATTCTCGTCTCTCCATATCTCTGGATTGATGATTTCCACCTTTTGTTTTTTAGCGGCATTGAATTCTTCCACAAGAACAATTTCTGTTGGTGTGGTTGGCCGGTCTTCAATGTGATAGCCCCATCTTGCCGTCACTAATTCAGGTTGCCTGACTAAACACGGTAAACTCCCATTACTGCTATGAAGCGCTTCATCCGTATCCATTACTAATTCCGGGTTGTATGGTATTGGCTTTTGTTTTTGCACATTGCCATTGCTGATTTTTGCAGTGGTTGATAAAGGTAATCTGGATGTATCATTACCGCTTGCTTCGAATTCATCTTTTTTGCTCAAATTTCTAGGCTTGCTTTTTGAAGAAGATATCTGATCTGAAGTTTCATTTTCCTTATTCTCATTATCCTTCTCTTTTGCAAATAGTTGTTTTTTCTTGTCAACATTGTTGATCTCTTCCTTGACTGGTCTTTCTTCGGTTTTCAAACGTAAATCGGGAATGCTTTCTGCTTTTTGACCTCCTTCTGTTATATCTTTGCCACCAGATTCTATATGTTTAGAACGGGTGGGACGGAAGGGAACTTTTAATTCCGCGGTTTCATTTTGTATTTGGTCGTCTTTTGTAGACAAGCTTGTGTTGTTCTCTGCCGGATGTAGATTTCGTTCTGTAACATCTTCTCTAGCATCAGGTGATGTAGTAACGATTTTTGTTTCATCTTCAGCATCACTATCACTAAAGACAACATCCCCACTTTCAATTTCTGCCGGTTGTATATTTGGTTCTGTAACATCTTCATTAAGGGACTCTCTGGCATCAGGTAATGAAGTAATTAAAGAGGTTATTGTTTCATCTTCAGCATCACTATCACTAAAGATCTCATCCCCGCTTCCCATCTCTAAGTTTTCTAGCTCGTCTAAGCCTTGTAATCCAAAGACATCATCTTCAGACGCTTCAGACGTCGTTTCTGTTGTACTCAGGCTCTTTCTCGTTTCTTCCTGAGAATCTGTTTCGTGACGTATAATAGTTACTTCTTGTCTTTTCTTAAGTGTTATCTCCTTTACGTTGTCAGTAGTTTCACTATTCTGTTCCTCTGAAACCTTTAGGAATGGTACATTTGTTTTTTTGTCTGCTGAATTGTTTTCAAGGTGTGCTTCCTGTTGATCAAGGATTTGTGATTTGTGCTGTTCTTGACCCATCGCAATGTCTGTATCTGGTTTTCGTAGCTCATCGCCCTCTCGCCCTTTCACTCGGACTGCTACATTAGTACTTTTGACCAGATGTTTGTCTTGTTTGTCGTCTTGGATTTCAGGTACAGTTTGAGACACAACCTCCTGAATTTCCTGCACGATCTCCTCCTCTTCTTCTGTAATAACATCCGGAATCCTTGAGCGCCTAAGTTTTTCTTCAGTAAAATTGTCAACAGCTACAGTGTTTTTCTGCGCTAAAGTGGGCTTGGTTGTTTTGCTTTCTTCGGCAACAGTCTTGTATTCGAGTGAATCTGAAAAATAAAAAACAAGTAAACGATATGAATATACTATATATTGCTAAGCATATCCGTGTAGGGGTTATCTGCATCGAAAAAATAAAAATGATAAATTAACAAATCAAACCCATTAGAATAGGTCTGAAGCATCGTATTGATAGAACACTACTGACCGAAATAGGTCAAACATCAAGATTTGTCTGTAGTCGTTTTAATAGTCACGAAAATGGAATGATCGAAAAGCTCATTTACAGTTCATCGCTATACGCACTCTATCTGAGTTTACCTTACTGGAACAAGACTTGTCATAATAAATTTGACGTGATCTTATAACATTGCTATGTGGTCCCATATCTAGTTCTGTTGATTCGATCCGCCAAAATAATCGTTACAAGTTAACTTTGTAATATTCACTTTTTATACTCTACACACACCAGCTTATCTTTCAAAATAATTGACTGACTTTGTGAACACTGAATAGATGTGAATAGTGTATCGACGATATAAAGTAAGAAAACAAAACTCTTGTCTCTATACAGAACTGATGAGACGCGTTCTCCGTATTGTTCCAAACATGTTGCCATGTTGGTTTTACCTAACTAAGACTCTTGCTAAAATTTATCGCTGCGGATCAAGCATACCAATACCCATTACCCAGAATACACAAATGAGTGAATATACAAAATATGCCAAATCCATTACATATATTACATACTCTTAAAGTGCAGAATTAAAGTTGAAGGGTTAGTTTTAAACGTTTTGAATCGATTTTCAAATTCTCTTAACCTTCACATTACTTGAATACCGCGTGAATACAACACAAGTGAAGCATATTTGATCAGGTATTGGACCAAGAAGAAAATACCTTTGTCTATTCATCAACCACAACTATTCATTCCCACGTGTCGTGCGTGCATCAGTATCAAAGTCGAGGCCCTTTGAATAAAGCTATTGTGAACTCTATTGCTATAAGCCTCGATTTCATGCTCACACCGGCTCAGAGTTAGGTATAAACATGCAATTAACGCATTAGCGAAGTGGGGTGGAGTGGGGCAGTCGTTTATTAATGGCATGGAGTCAAGTGTCTGTTATTGGATCAAGTCCGTCATCCGGTAATTTTCTTGCTCGAGGGCAAATGATAAAGGTCAAAAATAACTCCTTTAAGTGGGAAAAAAATTTAAGACTTTTATAGACTATAAGATCTTGAAGTTTTTTGCTGCAACTCACTAATCAATCTCAGAAACAACTTTACATGAGAATGTAAGGGAAAAGGGAAAACTCCATCCTACTAGATAAAAGATCTATCATTTTCTCCGTTTATTGTGCTTTTGGACATATGAGTATAATATAACAGAAAATGATTTGAGTTGAATTGAGTCATGAGATCAATGATCACCTTGAAGTCACTTCACTATTGAAACATGTTAAAGAAAGATGTTTAACTCAGATAATAAGATCATTTTTGTGGACACAAAGTTTTTAGTCAACTAATGGCATCCAGAGTGATTCAGCTGATTGCTTTAGAACTTTTCCAACAAGCTCTTGCTATCAAAATGTGATAGATTTGTTTTGGTCTGTACTAGGGTTAATCACCGTCGAAGTACCACTTCAGTGTCTGATACTGGGACTGAACGATATTTAGTTGGGTTTTTTCTCATGATGAATATTAATATTACTTCATGCTCTTTCCCTTAGTATACGTGATTAAAGGTACAATATATAAATCAAATTATAACGAAAGCAGAAAAACGTGATTAATCTTGATGATTGGTTTACTTCTGTCATAGGGTCGTGACGACATTGCCTTGGTCGATATCAAGAATCAACATTGATAGAGTTTCAAAATCACGAATACTGCAAGCAGTTTTGAATTCTCGCTTCTGMAGGGTTAGCCTCGAGTCAGATGGAATTACTTTAAATATAATTATATATGCATTCCAATAAAGGTCCGTGGGATTTTGAAGTGATTGTAATATTGAAGTTGTACATTCTCAGTTTACTTGACCATTGGAATTTGTGAATATGTGTACACTGAAATGAGGCTTACCCTGTATAAATGAGTCTGTGATCAAGGAACACAGCGGTTTTTTCACTAATTCGAAAACGGTCTATTCGAATACGAGTATGGGTACAGCAGAGACCAGGGATCGATTTGATCAACGATTAGCATGGATCATAGTTTTACTTGTAAGGGATGTGGGAAAATGGAGAATGCGAGAGGTTTTATAATAGTTGTCACTTCTATTTCTCTTCCCTATCGTCAAGTCATTACGCCGCTATGCAGTTAAAACCCTATTCTACTGTTCTACTTCTAGCTAGAATAGTTTTCCACAATCCTTACAAAGATAAATAGCAGAAGACGTGGTTAGTAGTTAATTTATCCTTGGTGCAAATATAATAAATGAACTTCCTAATGATGCTAGCAGTATGATGGCTGCTAACGGATCCAAACAAATAGAGTCAAAATAATGCATTTTTAGTGAATTAGTTAGAAAAACATTCAAAAACGTAATCATTCCACACTAATAACGACACATAGTTACAACACTAAGTTTTTAATGAAGAAATTCACGGTTTAGTCGTTTATATATTATTCTTTCTTTATTTTATTTCGTTTTATTTTATTTTATTTTATTTTATTTCATTTTAGCCCAAACGAAAAACTTTAGAAAAAAGTTATAGGGTTTCGATGTAATTAGAAGAATATGTTATTCTATTTTATTGGCGGATCCAGGGAAGGACCTGCTGGGGGTAGGGAGGGCTACTACCTGGCCTTAAGGAGGCTGTGGGTAGTTTTGGTCTGGCGCATCTAGCCACATTGAAACGGCTACAACTTCGTCTTGAATATCTCGATCTGCAAGCGAAAACTACCCACATCCTCCTTAATACACAGCTTCCTTTAAAAAGGATTTTTCTCAATTTATTTTGGATCTCCAAGGAGTGCTGCTGATCAAAACCCACTACCCCCTTCTTTCCCCTCCTTCCCCTGGATTCACATTGGTATTTTAGTTTGTTTTAACTGATTTAGTCTTTTTGATACAGGAAGTAACGAGTTTATTTGCGCAATGCATTTTTTTCAAAAAWTTTTTATCAGTTTAGTTTAGTTGGTTTAAATTTACAAGTGTATTTTATGACCTTTAGTCAACACAGGATATTTGTGTTCATTTATGATGAACTGTTTTAGGTTTGTTTATGTCTCATCAACAGTTTATTAGTTTACTTTGTTTATTTCTCACCTCGATTAGTTCAGTTGTCGTACTCCTCGTTTATTGATCCTATTGCATCAGCAATCAAAATATTATTAGTCAGTTAAAAGGGTTAATTACGTCCATGTACGTTGAAATCACTGGTGATTGGCTGCCAGCAGTGCGATTTAATAGTTAGATGCCGCAAAATGGGCTAATTTTTTTTTTTTTTTTTTCCTCGCTTATGAATTCATAAATATTTTTTAAATGTTTAGAAGCCAGTATACAGGAAACTTAAACATTTTTATAATTTAAAGTTTACAGTTAAATTGAGTATTTTTAAGGGTAATTATAATAGTAACGTAGATTTATCCTTCTTACTTAAAGTATCGCTTTTCCATTGCCGAAAGATTATTACGATTCCCTCAAGGAAACATTTTTCTCGTCACTGGACACCGCTATCATTTCATGGACAAATGTCGAAGCAGTGGCAGTTTCTTCGTCAAAAGGATGAATACGGTTTTCCAGAGACTCTTTTTACTCCTCATTAACCCCTTTAGTTGGGACAAGGAGGGAAACAGATTTATACTCATTCTCATTGTTATCTTTAAACTCAGAAGGCTGACCATTTGAAATGCAAAGGGATAGGGGTCGCTTTGTCTTATTACCTTCAGAGCTGCTTTCTCTGCTTTCTTTAAAGAAATGCTGTTGTGATTTCCGTCTTGGAGATTTGACCGACGGGCTGCTGCCAGTCTTCTTGAGAGGGAATCCATGACGAATCTCGTTCAGTAGTTTATCTACTATACACCCACCATCGTCTGGTTCCATTTGCTTGACTTTGCCTTTGATTTTATGGGGATTTGCTGCTCTCTTCGCTTCTTCCTCTGCTTTTCTTCGCTCTCTTTCCAGGCGCTTCTTTTCTTGGATTCGAAATTGCTCATTTTCCTTTTTTAACGAGACAAGCACCTTTTAGTAATACTGTGCATTGAGTTCTTCAATAATAGACCTCTTTAGCTTTGGCGAAATGCTTTCCCATTTTAAGATCACGTGTCATTCACTAGAGTATCATTTCTTTGTTAAACGGTTGGACACGAGAAGACATATGAATATAGATACAGCTCAGACAACAAAGAAACTTATTCCCGAGAGAATGACAAGATGTCTATTACATTAAGTTCCTATAACCCTCCCCTTATTACCCGACTCCCCATCCATCTATACACTAGTCCCATATCTTGGTATGCCTATGAACACTAACTGCATGGTCATTGTTCAGTATTGCAGTGTTTTAATTTGATCAGTGAAATACTGGAGTATTTTTCGTAGCCATTTCTCGGTCTTCTATCTTGGGGTAGGGGATTGAAAGCTGTCGTAATTTAGAACTAGTCAGGAACATGTCACTCTACCTTTTTAGCTTGGTTGAGCTGATCACAAAACGTTTTAAAGAGGTTAAGGACTTCTTGCAGTTTGAGTTTCTTTTCGTCTTCACAAAAATAATCAGCAACGTTTTTGGTTAGATCGTTGATTTCTTCGATACCGGATTCAAGACCTTGTACTTCCAACAATGCGTCCTACAACGAAACAAAACAACAACAACCAAATACGTTCATTATTGTTTACGCTTGTGGTTTCGTTTGTTTCGCTTTTTTTTAAGTTCTGGTCATAAAACACGGAACAGTTAAATTGAATCCAGAGAAAAACCCTCAAAGAACAGGAGAGAACTAACAAACACCCAAGAAAAAAGAGAAGTTGCAGACATTCGGTCCCGCCCTGCATACAGGTTGATGAAGTCCGGTGGAAATTAACACACGATTATTTTCACTCATAAGCCTATCTTGTTTATTGATTACAAGTGTTAAAGACAAGCTTACCTTGACAAATTCTCCGAACTGTTCCCTGATATCACTCGGCGCATTTTCCAGAGCAGTGTCCAGGGATGTCACATTTTTTCTAATCGTGCTTACTTCAGAAGTTAGGTGTTCCAGAGACAATCTACGAATAATATTTTTAAAATTGGAAGAGTCAATCTTGATTGTTTTCGTATTTTAGAAGCCAGAGTAACTATCGTTAATTGTCTTTTTGGGGTGGGGGAGGATAACACTTTAAGAATGATTCATTCACCGAGGAGCCACCTTGGTACTCAGGTTCATATTCTCTCTTTCAGTTTTTTCTCATTCATTAACAAGCTAGCGTATCAGCCTTTTCCCGCGATTTTYCGCTTTTTTAAAGTTTAGCTATTCAACCCACGAATGATTTTACTGCATTCCAGACCTGACTGCTTGATCCAAGTGCTTCATATGATCCGGGAACTCAAGGACATCTTCTCGCTTAGATTCTGCTACCTATAACGAGAAATGGCGTATTTCAAACACTGGTTTAGAAAAACGTCAGTATATCTGAATGGTGAACTAGAGAAGGGAATCGAACTATGGGGAAAACTGATATCAAAAAGTTAGAGGAAATATTCTCTCGTAAATTCACTTGGTTGCGATCGGTTAGAAGAGGTTGTTTTGAGCAATACTCCCAAGTTCGCCTTTGGTCAGTCATAGTTGTGTGTTTCAGCTATTCCACCAAAACCCGTGGCATTTTAATCAACTCGTATTGTTCCGTAGTGTGTACATTCCTTACTATACAATGGACTTTAATGAAAGACAAGAACACAATTTGTACACAATCGAGGCTACCGAGACTAAGGCTGAGCAAAGAGAACTCGAAACTGAAGCATAACGATCCAGACGGGTGGCGGTAACCTACAAAAGCCTTTTCTTATTTTTAAAACATCCAAGGGACGGGTGGTAGCTATCCAATCCACCCAGCCCATTACTTAAAGGAATACTTACATTAACCAGAAAATGCATGAGATTCATCCTGGGTTTGTTGGCTCTTGTGTCAACAAGCTTAACGAGAGAACTGATCTTGAATGCAATTGCGTTTCCCGCGTAGCCACCCTAACATCAAACATCCATGATAGATTAACGACAGATCTTTTGCATGCATTCAGATTCAACTCAAGTCTCACATTGACGTAGTAAAACAATGAAAATGAATCGGCAATGCTAAACTGAAGATTTCCCAATCGTAACGCACATAAAGCCTTGTTCTTGGCAGTAAAGGGAAAAATACAGATAGTCCAGCTACTACACATCTTTCTAGTGGTTTGACAAAATGCACCGTCTTCCTAATGCATCTTTGCCTCTTACTTCTTATAGTCAAGCACTGCTTACCGAATTCATGAAGTTTCCAATAATTAGGATGAGTTGCAGCACCTCTGGTAAGATTTTACTTTCTAGGATCTCTGAAATCACAAAAAAGAAGTYGTAGCTTCATGGAAAAATATTCTAGTGTGTTTGTAGTAACCAAGAAGAGATACGATGTCTCTCGCTTTCGTTTATATATCTGCGAGTAACAGACAATTACGATTTGCACCCTGAACTGAATCGTATCTGGAAGGCAAACGAGTTTTTCTACATCATCATTCAAAAAACATTACGTACGGTTAAAGTATTAATAGAGGTTCCAATATCAGAGTAAACGTTTCAGTCCTTTATTCAGTGTTCCCAAAAGCCCTAGCTTGCCTACCTCCAATGGAACATTTCAGGCACTCTATATTTGGCTTCAAGGATGAGAGATTGATTTTTAATTCTGCCTTTTGTAGCATTGCCTCCAACCGCAGCTGATAACTGAAAGATTAATACAGATTTCGGACTGTAATACCCGAATTTTAATTTGTTGCTGAAGAAATAGAAAACGCGTGCGCGTGCTGTGTGCAGTTATAAAGCACACGGGGGTTGGCAAAACACTACAGAAGTGTTCGGATAAGCACGACGCGTTGCGTAGTGCTTCTCTACATTTCTCAAAAACCGTTATGTTGGATAGGAATGACGCAACTGAAAGTGTGCGCGCGTGTGGTGTGTGCTCTTATAAAGTACTCCAGAACCACAACCAACCAGAACGCAAGATTCATAACAGTTATTTTATAATTTGAGTTAGAGATAATAACGAATGCAATGATCTAATACGCTCTAACATGGATATTGCTTGAGCAATTGAAAACCCTATTCCTGATTTTTGACTGGAAAACAAGAAAAGGTGGACAGAATGTGTTCTAACCTTTCTACCGAAATTAGCTCCATCAAGAATTTTTCAGCAGTTCCCAGTTTGGTCTTGTCTCCACTAAACGACTTCAGAAGCTCTTCCTGAAATAAAAGGTACATACTGCATGTAACATTGACCACAGTATTCCTTTATTAACTGATAATATGGAATTACTATATGGAATGTTCTCAATCAATTTTCGTTTTCCTTACGAAACAAGCAATCCTGCATAGCTTTGGATTGCAAATGTAACATACCAAATTTTTTCTCGCAATTTCGTTGCAAGTTGGCAAAATTTCGAGGCAAGTTACAAGACACATTTTTAGTTTCGTCAGAGCACTTTCAGTACTACAACATTTCCTCCCCATGAAAAGAGTCAGTGTAGCGTGTGTACAATTTCCCTTTTCTTTGGAACAGAACACCAAAAAAGGGGCAAAGGTAATTGCTGCATGCATAACTCACCTCTGAATTGTCAGGCAAGAGCTTAATAAAGCTTTTCAAGACATCTGGTTCAATTTTGGCAACATCACCTTGTCTTATCAAGTCTATAATTTCCGAATTAGACCTAAAATCCATGCAGAACCACAACTTAACAGAGTTTATCATATGAATGTATTTAAAGGTAGTGACCAAATGGCACAAATTATATCTTTCATTTGTCTACTTCTAAGTGTTAAAAATGAAGCGAGAAGGAGCATCAATATCCCCCGGGGGGATACTAATCATTAGTCCATTACATAATACCCCTAGTCCCCAGTATTTTTCAGGATCTCCCAAACATTTGTCGGTAGCCATTTATACACTGGGGAAGAGTGCCGCAATCCATTTAAAGTAAACCATCTTGCTCAAGACCATAACGTAATGGAATGTGCTCAAGTGTTGTCGAATTCGAGTCTATCTACCAGTAGTAGCAGAATCGCTAACCCACAAGTCATCATGTTACTCACTAAGTTCAATCCCGTAGTGTCGTATAAATCTTTTCTTGCTATCAAACGTCATATCACAAACTTACTTTTTAAATTGCTTCAAGAAAATGTTCAAGTTTAGACTTCGTTTAGGATCCAACAAAGATATCTGAAGACACAAAAATGAAAGGTTAATAAGAAGTATCTTGCTAACGGCCTGTCTTACAGCTAAATTGTTGTTGATAGACATTGGACCATTGAAACAAAAACTAATGTAAACAATGGACTCTTTTCCGAGGGTTCAACAAAATCACTCTATTCGTTACTTTAACAATCTTTTATTTTAGTAAAATCCTAAAAGTACAAGTAGATATTAGAATAATTACCTCTTTGGGAGCTTTTTTCTTGTCTTCTTTTTTCGGGGCCACCTTTTTCTGACAAAACAATTCTTCCTCCATTTTAAAATCAGGATGAATCTCGTCTAGAGACATAACTCGAGTCCAAACACATTGGCGTTGCCGTTGTACGATATGCGCTGGTAGTTTCTGCCAAGCTAGAGTTCTCATTTTAGATCCTGGTCGATATCTGGGTACGACTGGACAACTTTGTGATCTTTGGCATCTTCCGTCTGTGGCTGTTACACCACCAGTTGGTGGTGGTGGGGGAGGCGGGCCGCCCATTCCTGGCGGTGGAGGAGGTGGTGGTGGATTTCCAATGCCATGAATTGGTGGCGGGGTAGGAACAYCAGGTATGCCAGGAGGAGGGGGAACGCCAGCCATTCCAGGAAGAGGTGGAGGTGGTGGCATTCCAGGAATACCAGGAGGCGGTGGCGGAGGTGGAACACCAGGAATTCCAGGAATCGGTGGTGGAGGCGGAGCACCAGGAATCCCAGGAGGAGGTGGTGGTAATGGTGGTCCACCAAGAATTCCAGGAAAAGGTGGTGGAGGCGGAGCACCAGGAATACCAGGAAGCGGTGGCGGAGGCGGAGCACCAGGAATACCAGGAATTGGTGGAGGAGGTGGAGCACCAGGAATACCAGGAAGCGGTGGCGGAGGTGGCGGTGCTTTTGTGGGGTGGGGGAAATCATCAGAGATAACAGATGGAGTCTGCGAGGAAGTGCACGAAAGAGAACTTTCTTTGTGACCTTCACTTACTGAATTGGTATCCAGTGATGATTTTTCATCGGTTTCTAGTGATACACCAGATTCAACATTTTCTATTACTTCAACATGAATTTGTTCCTGATCCAGAACTGGGTTATCCAGACAATTTGCAGATTTCGATTCTGTGTTGTTTGCAAGTTTATTTTCCTTTTCTTGGAAATGTACTTTTGATTGATTTTCAGGAGCAATTTCATTTTGACTTTTGGGAGGTTTCACATTTGCAATGCCTTTTTCGCTTGTACGAAGTAATTGTTCAGCTTGAATTTCATCCTCGATATGAACGGCACGTCGCACAAGCTTTTCAACGGTATCCCATACGACATCGGAAACCGGTGACTCCTCATCAATCATCAATAGATTCTGCAGAACACTCAACAGATTCACTGCCTGTGGTTTGCTGCTTACCTAAACAAAATGAGTTAATCTTAGCAAAATTGACTGATTAACAGACAACTCGAGAGAACAAATTATTGAACTGATTTTACATTTTCTTACCCGTTTAAAAACGGCATGGAAAACATCAATATGGCTCGTTAAATCAACTCCTTCTGGTGTCACTTGCTCATCGTCGTCGTCAAGTCTTTGATCTTCAAAAACGTCAAGTTGAACAGAAAGATCTTCATCATCTATATGTCTGTACAATTAAAAAACACAGTTGCATGAGTCAAAAACACAAAGACAGGGAATCTAAATCACGTGTATGGGGGAGGGGGTTCCCAAATGAAGAAATGTAGGTGGAGCGTAAAAACAGCGTAAGAGTGACAACGGCGTTAGGACACCGCAGAACACCCCTTTGGAACTGCCCCTGATTCCTTGTACCATCAGTCTTACCAAACCTTTACTTACCTCAAGCGGCTTAGTATATCAAGAAGTCCAAGACCTTCAAACAAAGACAAACAATAGAACAAAAAATATTAGTTATCGTAGAAATTGTAATAAATCATACTTAAATAAATCAGAGAGAATAAGAGAAAAATATCAAATGCCCTTGGCAGGATTCGAACCCACGTCTTCGGTATTCTAGTCCGATGTGTTAACCACTACACTACAAGGACCAACCACGCTGGTAACGCAGCCAGAATATGAAATAGTCTACTTTCTATGATTTGTACCGAAGAGGTATTTACACAAAAAGGTGCCATATTTACCCCTTAGGCAATCCATTATTTAAAACACTATT